GCGGGGAGAATGACATGGGAGCAGGGTGACTGTACTGCAGGCGCGTGGCCAAGCACAGAGCACAGCTGGAAGGGAGACAACCCTAGGCTTGGCGTGGCTTCAGGGCAGCCTGTGAGCAGAACAGCAGAGATGAAGGTGGAGGCAGGCAGAAGTCAGACCCTGAGGCACCACGTGAAGGGTTGGGCACTGTCCCGAAAGTAGCAGGGGCTGGCGGAGGCATTTGCCAGGGAGTGACGGGACCGGACTTGTGTCCTGCAAAGACCATGCTGGCTGCACCGTAGGCCCGGGTGGGAGGAGATGTGCCGTAGGCCTGGAGGCCACCAAGGCAGGCCAGAGTTGTTGGTGGCCTGAGAGGGGAGTGGTGGTGGGGGCCGAAAGGACAGATCCAGAAGAGGCAGAATCAAAGGAGTTTTCAGACTCAGTGCCTAAGGGGGCAGGTCAAGGACAACCATGGGCTCTGACTTTGAAATCCTGGGTGGATTCATGATGTCATTTCTGAAACAGAGGCCCGGGAAAAGCAGGTCTGTGGGAAGGTGATTTCAGTTTGGACATTCCGTGCCTCTGGGCTAGCCATGCGTGGGCAAGCAAACAGCTTTATCATGAATTCCCAGCTGCTTCCAGAATCTGCACTGAGCAGTGTGTGTCCTGGCATGTCAGAGGGTGGGGAAGGGATGGGGAATCTGTGCTGGGCTCCACACTGGGGAGAGCAGTCCAAAACCCTCCTGCCAGGAAGCTGACACATCCACTCCCTTTTACACACGGGGACATGGTGGTCCCATGACACTGCTTGACCAGGGGGCTGCCAACCCTATGAACAAGCATGGGCTTCTTCCATCTCCTCTGCACCGGGGAGCGGGCTCTGTTTCTCCCCTCTTCACTAGCTTCTGTCTCTGCTGAACTCTAGACCTGAGGCCAGTGTTGCAGAGTTAAGAGGGCAAAGTACTACGTATGCTCATGTCCACAATTTCATTCAAACCTCCTCTATGCCTGATGAAGATGGTACTCTCATCCCATTTTAAAGATGAAGAAAAGGAGGCTCAGAGAGGTTAGGAGACTTGTCCCCATCACACAGCTATTCACTATGCCTCAAGGTATGTTTTCCAGATCCTGTCTTTGCCACTTACGGAGACAGAGTGGCTGCTCTTCAAGCGGAAGTTGGCATAAAGACACACAGAGCTCCCCCGTGGTGGGGTTCTGGGGCAAGGGTGAGAAGGAAGAGGTGTGAAACCATAGGGCGAGGCTGAGCACACCCCACAACATGGCTGCCCGGCCGTGGGAATCCTCATGGCCCCTCGCCCTAGGTCTACAAAATCTGAAGTCAGAAGAGACAAGCCCTCACCATTTCAGGTCAACTTGGATTTTGCTTTTTGGTTCAGAAGAAGGGAGCAGGTGCAAACTTGCTTCTCTCTCCTTGGACATGCAGGTGAAAATATAAACTTTCTGCAGCTCTCCATTAGTCTGGGGCTTTTAAAGGTCTCTGGCTACCCTCTCAGCCCCCAGGAATCATTTGTGGAAAAAGGCAGGGGATAGAAAAATGACACCAAGAGCTTGCACCTCTGTCCTCACGCAGCTGGGCTCCCGTGGTACCGGGGCAGTGACATTAGACTTCCCTCCCTCATCTCACAAGGCCTGACATTGGCCACCACCTCTGCCCATAGATTGCATCACAGTTTCCAGTCCAACAAGACAAAGGCCTCAGGTATATGATAACAGGATTCAAATAGAACTAATTCTTTTTTCCTCCCTTATCACTTTGCACACATGAAATCTATATTTTAATTAGTTTTCAATACATAATCTTTTTTTAAAAGAATGAAATCCTACCCCCAAATTGTTCTTAGAGAAAGATCTATCTTATAAAGTTTCTTAAGAAAATCTATATGTGCTCAACGCATTTAAACAACACTCATTAAGGTGAACTGCATGCAAGCTGGCTTCTCTAGTCACAGAAGAGAGACAATCGCTTGACCTATTGCAAATCAAAAAGCATTTCTGCACCACCTTTATTTTTCAACTGGTTAAGTTTTAAATTAAAGTCCCAACGCCCTTTTTGGGAAGGCAGACTCTCATAGCCCCAACAGAAATTTCAGCTCCGTCGATTGGAAGATAATTACAAGAAACAAAATGTGAAATTTTAAATCAGGGCACTAATGAAGTCTAAAAATACCAGTGGCCCATCCCTCTGGCTGGCAAGACCTGTTCTTCATGGAGGGGGATCTCTCCATAATTACTCAACCCCGTGAGAGGCCAGGTTGTCATGTCAAACAATAGAGGAAAAATCGCGGGACTTTAATGAGCTAGATCTCAAGGAGCTCTATGGTGAATCTTATTATAATGCCGGGCAAGCTTTCAAACAGAACAGGAGAAAAGGAAAGTTCTTCATCTTTTTTTTTCCTTCCTTAAGTGGAGTTCTGACTAGTGTTGATACCATCACGCGGTGCCTCCCGGTTCTCACTTGGAGCCAGCTGTCTGTCATTTAGGAGTGTGAAATCAATTGGGTTTTGGAGATGTAAAATCCCTAGGGGCAAAATTAAAAGTGACCCAAATCCAAACCCACATGGTCTTGTCAGGAATATGATTCTCACATGGTAAGTTTCAAAGATTTGGTTTTAAAATTCGGGTTTCTTATTTTAAAAAATATGCAGTTGTTTGACATTAGATCTGACAGACAAATTATAGCTTTAGCAATAAAGGCTTTTAAGATTAGAAATGAAAGGAGAAATTAAAAAAAAAAAACACACACACAACCCACTCAGGCTTGAGTTTGGAGGCATTTGTATGTTCATGCTTCATTGTCTTTCTTCACCACAAATATAAGGGGATAAATCAGCTGATGAGGGCCATAAATAGAGAGGTGAGTTAAATGTAATCTTTGGGGAAGCAGCCTGCTCCCTGGCCAACTATGGAAATCAGCGTGACAGATGGGTCACCAGTTGTCGGTGGCTGGAGCTAGAGGGATCTCACTGGCTTACCAGAAGGTAGGGCTGTGGACACTTTCTAGGCTGACCCTGGGCCTGGCCTCACCAAGCACTGAATCCACCCTCCAGGGCTAGCAGGACAAACTCCCTCAGGGGCCCTCTCTCTCCTTCCCTCCTGTCTGTGAGTTTGGGCTCAGCACAGAGGATGGTTCACGCCCTCTGGCCCCAGAAAGATGTTACAGGTGTGGCTCTGCAATGGCGCACTGGCCCAGTGTGTCTCTACCGCCTGTAACTTCCTGGGCCCCTAACTTATGGGCTCAGGTTGCTGATTATAGAATGCACCTGTGCCTTTGAGGAGGCAGACCCCAGTTCTGTGCCAAGCTCCAAACCAGGGACTTTAGGCCCAACTGGGCCAGTTACCTTTCTGCCCAGAATAAGTCCTTTTCCTAGATACATGTCTGAAACTTGGCAAATCAGTAAGACCTTTCATCAGCCCTAGGAGGCCTCTGCGGGAGGGGGAGATGCCCCTGTGGTGGGAGAGGGAAGCCCATTCAGTGCCTTGGGTTTTGGTACAGCCTTGGGTGCAGCCAGGACACCCAGTTCCCAGTGTATCAGGGCTGGCCGCATATAAACTGGGAGTAAGTTTTTTTTTTTTTTCCTTTTTAAGGGAGAGAGCGCTTAACCAAAACAATTCAAACAAAAAATCAATTTAGTCCATTTTTTTTTAAAAAGATCTTAAACAAAGCAAGAGTTTACCAGAATTTAGATGTAATTTTCTATAATTTTGTCATTTAAAACTAGTGCTGATTTCCAAAACAAAGGCAGTTGGGGCGCAATCAGATTGGGAATGAAACCCAGTGGAGATCTAGACACGGCTTTGTTGTGGGGATGCCTGACGAGGTCCGAAAATTGCTTGAAAGGATAAAGATAGAGATGCATGAGAGCAGGCAGGAAAGAATGGCTAGTGGGAGTCATTGCTCTGCAGAGAGACAGGGCCCCCTGAGAAGCCATCTCCAGGAGCTGTGAGCGAGAAGGCTGAGAAGTGATGCCCAGAGGTCCACACCTCCTGGGACCATCTACTCCCCCTTTTCAAAGGAGGCCTGGGTAGCCCAGCAGGCAGACCGCCTACCATGTGCTCTCCTGCCTGCCACTGGGTCCAGGCCTGGCTGCCTCCCCTCTCTATTCAGCAGGAGAGGGGCTGGGCGTTTGGAGCTCTAAGGGATAGCAAGTAAGTCTGGGGCGGATGAACCCCACCAGTCTAACATCTGTGGTCCCTAGTCCTCCTGCCCCCTTCTGCATTCCAGCTGGAGAGATCCCTGAGACAGACCTCAGGAGTGATGCCTGTTTGCTGATGCACTTTGTTCTAACCCTAAGGCTGGGGGCTCATCCTGCAGGCTCTGTTGTCAAGGATCTGCCTTGAAAACTGCCCTGGGGGTGGGGCAAAGGGGTTCACTGAAGGCTGAGGCTAGAGGTGCTCTTTCCTGGAGCCTCAAAGAGCCACCCTTGGGTCCTTGAAACAAAAAATCCAAGTGGCTCAGGATGGTCTGGGAGTGTCTCCTGGGGAAGAGACATTCCCCTCACCTAATGTCTGGGGAGCTGCTCTCATCCGATGGCACAGCAGAGGGTGCTTTTCTGGGGAAGGATACAATTCATGTTCTGACTGTTCTTACGGGTGGAAAATGGAGAAGGCCCCACAAAGGACTGTTCCATGGAGCCCTAAGAGGAGCAGATGTTTCCTGCTCATTCCATACTTGGCCTGGCCTTGGGGTCAGAGGTGAGAATGGCCTAGGGCTTGGGCTGGAGGCCGAAGGACCCCGGACTTTGCAGGCTCTCCCTTCCCTTCCTCTCCTTGCCAGCTCACAGGTCCTCGCCTTGCCTTCCTTCCCTCCTCCACCTTCCCCTCTGCCTCCTCCGTCTAAGGCCAGGCTGTCTTGGGCAGGGGGTGGCCCCGCCACTGCTTCTGGGCTGGATGAGGCCAGGGAGGGAGCTGCTGGAGAGCACACTCCTGTCCGCACTGCCATCATGACCGTTCGGGGAAGCACAGATGTGGGCACACAGGAGTATGTGGGCAGCGGAACTTACCTTTGGGGTGCCCAGGGTCGGTGAACTCATACTTCCCCACGCCAATGGTCCGCAGCATCTGTAGCCCGTGGGCTGAGTCAGTCGTGGGGGGCCCATTGGTGGCAGGGGCACCGCTGGGGAGGGTGGCAGACGGCTGGGCTGGTGGTGGTGGAGGCAGCAGGGGCCCTGCCATGTGGCCGTTGCCCACGGCAGTGGGTCCCGGGCGGCCCACCTGCCCCACGCCAGGCAGTGTGGACATGGCCAGGGGCTGCGGGCTGGCATACAGGGCCTGGGCGGGCATGTTGACCACCACGCTGCTCAGTGGCTGAGAGGGTGCCTGTGGGAGCGAGTAGTGGCCTGGCATCAGCGGGAGCTGGGGCCCCACGTGGGGAGGCAGTGAGGGCGTCACCCCAATGACTGGGGCCTGGACGTTCACAGCCGGGCTGAAGGTGGGAGGCTGGGTCACTCCATAGGAGTGTGCGATCAGGGCGGGCTGGCTCCCGGCGGCCACCGTGGTCACCCATGGCCCTGTGCCTGCAAGGGAGACAGAAGAGATGTCATCTGCTGGATACACATTCCCTCGGCAAACACCGACTGTCCCAGGCCCTGGGCTGCGTGCTGAGGTCACAGAGGTGGAAAAGACACCTGCATGCAGGAACCCCCAGGTTAAAAATCTGTGATTATGGTAGCATAGGATAAATGCTTTGGGGGTATATGAGCAGATGGCCGTGGAGGCTCAGAGGGGGAGCACAATCTACTTGGGAGAGCTCAAGAGGAAACAAAACAGAGAGAAAAAAAGCAGAGACCTTCAAAGAGTTCTGGGTTCAAATTTTGACTCTGCCATTTATTAGCCAGGAGCCCCGGGCAAGTTCCTTATCTTCTCTGAGCCTCATTCTTCTCGTCTGTTAAATGGAACTAGCAACACCTACCTCAGAGGTCTCTTGGGACGAACTGAATGAGGGAAATGTGTTTGGAAAAAAGGAAAAAGAAAAACTAGCAGAGTGTTTGGCATGTGTTAAATGTTCCATAAATGTTGGTGTTTTTTCTTCCTTTCTGGAGAATAGCTGTCTGGAGGAGGTGGGGAGAAAGGTGGATTGTGAAGACAGTAGGTGTTTGCTGGGCAAGGTGAGAACACCAGAACCTGGAGCTGTGCAAGGGCCCTGTGGTACAGGAAGGGAGGAGCAGGAGGTGCGGGAAGTGGGGGAAGGTGGGCAGGAGCTGGGGGGGGCCAGGCTTTCTCCTAAGCAACCTTTGCATGGCCGGCCCTGGGCGAAACAACAGAAGTGCATTTGGCCCTTAAGGGAATTTTGACTGAACAAGACACACCTCCTGAGACTTGATACAAGATTCGAGGCCTGCTGAGCCCAGGTCAGGCCGAGCAGGGTCAGGTCCCCTTAAGCTGAGCTGACACTGAGGTGACCCAAGCGTGCTTGTGAGTGAAGCCAGAAGACACTGTGACAGGGAAGGCAGCCTGGGTCACCGCTGACTGAATAAGTGTGGGGCTAGGTCTCCGTCACCCAAATGCCACCTTGGTTTTCATGATGCTGCTGAAATGGCAGTATAGACTGAGGGCAGGGAGACTGAGGAAGAGAGTGGGGGCCAGGGGGCCACTCAGAACCCCCAGCCCCAGAGATGAGAATGGGAGCTGGGAGCTCCCTCACAGAAACAGGAGGTTAGAGAAAACTAGAAGCTGGCAAATATTGGTGAAGCAGTGCCGGCAAGATTCTAGAATAGGCCCCTAAGGGGGACTGTCCCTAAGTCTGAAGAAAAGGAGCCAGCTGTGAGCCAGCCTGGTGTCTTAAGCACAAGACATGCCATCCTAAGCTCATTTCTCTCCAGGATTAGCCAGGGAGCCTGAAACGATGCACCAGAATTTGGGAGCACAGCTAGTGACTTCTCCGGGAACCCTGGTGAAGGTACAGAGATGCCGGGCCATGGCGGCAACTGATTATGAGTGCGACTGGCCCAGAGGATGCTGGGGACCGAAAGGAGGTCTCTAGTGATGTGCGCTGAGCCCTGCTCACGCTATCTGTCAATGAGTTGTATGACAGGGAGGATCTCACCACCCAATCTGGAGGTGCCATCATATCGGGAGGGTTAGGCACAGGTCAGCAATAAAGAGCTGGAATCTAAGAGATCTTAGGAGTCGTAGGGGAAGATACGGACAAGGACTTGCCTGTGAGCCCCCACACCCCGCTGCCTGAGGCAGATTGAGAGGACGGGGGTCAGAGTTGCTGCCATGACAGTCTTGGGGTCTCACTGGTGACAGCGCATGTCTGGGGCTAGCAGCCCATCAGAAGTGACCTAAGGCTGCAGCGGTCAAAGTAGAGGGGCTGAATGAAAGCGGTGCTGGTCATAGCACACGGGGGCTCTTTGCGTTGGGTTCCGGGCCCTGAGGGACGCAGAGGGAGAAATAATTCTCTGGAGGGCAAAGGAACTGGCAGCCACAGGCTCCGGAGTGTGGCTGTGGGACCTGGCGTGTTTATCCTGCAGAAGACTTGGAGGGGAGGATGAGTGGGGTGTTCAGGTATCTGTAGGGCTGTGGTGTGGAGGGCCAAGCCGACGAGTTCTGTGTATCCTAAGGGCAGGTCTGGGACCAATGTGTGGTAACAGGGAAGGTGTTGTTATGGTCAGAGCTGACCCGAGAAGGCCTGCAGTGCTGTAGGAGGTGAGGAGTCCCCAGTCCCGGGGGGGGGAGCATCCCGGTTCTCATTTCAACATTGGCAAGGCAAAACCTCCCTGGAAGGTGTGACTTGAGAGACGTATGAACCAGAGTCCTGAGGTTTGGGAAGGACTATTCAGAATAACACAAAGCAGATTCACAGTCCCTCCTGTGATGTCACTCTCACTCCCTCTGCCTCCCCCAAAGCTTTCTTGAGTAGCAGAGAAAGGGGTAGAGATGCAGCTACTGCCCGGGACACACAGGGTCCTCGCCCGCAGGCAGCCTGAGGCCTGGGCTGCTGCAGGCCCGTGAGCCGGGACCTGCTGAGGAGCTGGAGTACCCAGGGGGCCTCTGACACCCTTCCCAGCCTCAGCGTGGGAGTCTCTGGCTGCTGATGAAGTACACACCTGGATTGTCGCTCTCCCTCATCTGTTTGGAGGGTGGCTCATCAGTGTCCCAGGGCGTGGACTGATTGATGGGCGTCTGCCCCCACCGGATGCTGGTCGTGAGTCCCTGGGACTGATTGTCCGCTTTGGAGATTCCAGGGGCCTGAGGAGGAGCAGAGCAGGAGGATGAGCACGGCCTGACTAGGGCTGCTGCCTTGGGGCCCATCCCCGAGGTGCCACGGGGCCAGGGGCAGAGACCGGGCCCCACACCCGGTACCCCCGGGGAGCTGCACAGCATTTGGGCTTAGTGCTTGTAGGCTTCTGCTGCAGTCCCACCCCCAGGAACACCCAACCCAGTGCCTCCCCGGCCGCCCCCTGCAGTCAGGCCCCATACCAGCCGCTGAGGCCCCCACGTGCCACTCCACGGAGGAGGTGTGGGGAGGGGAGGGCCTGAGACCTGTGGGAGGACAGCTCAGCACAGGTGGCATCTCCCCTGGGGCCCTCGGCTCCTTGTTGTGGGAAGGAGGGAGGCTCTCTGTTTCAGATTCTCATTCTCTAATTTAGATTAATGAGAAAATGAACCCCAGGCTGAAAACAAACATTAGCACAGCATTGGTCTCTGAGCTACAGCCTTGATGGAATATTATATGGTCATTGAAAATCATGTTTACTGAAATGCATAATGAGATGGCAAAATGCTTACACTATAATGTTAAATGAGAAAAGCAGGACATGAAATGACACAAATAGAAGCTCACATGTAAAACAGTACGTGTAGGAGAGAACAAACCGAAATGCTAGCCCGGGTGTTATTCTTGGTGAGAGGAATATGGGTACCTTCTATTCTCTTGTCTCTGCTTTTCTGTATGCTAAATTTTCTACTATGGCCATTACCATTATAATAAGAAAAAAACCAGAAAGAACAAGAAGAAATTCAAAAGCATGTTGGAGAGCCTGGGATTGGGGTCACTGCGATGTGGCGGGGGTGGGGGCTGGGGGGCTCAGCACAGGTGGTTTCAGGAAGTTTCCACAGTTCCCAAGACTGCAGCCAGAGCCCCGACCAGGTTTGGGATGAAGGAGGAGGTGGGGTGGGGGGCAGAGCCGGCTGTCCCCCAGGGGGGCCTGAAGGGGCATCTGCAGGCTTCTCTCAGGTAAGGGCCATGGTCTTCCTGACTTCTCACAAAAGCTGACCCAGTGAGCCTGCTGGTGGGGGCCGCGCCCCACTGGGCCTCCCTGAGCAGCGGGGATGGCTGGGTAGGGGCGGGTGGAGAGGAGGGAGGACAGTACTTATTGGATCTTTGATGCCTAATGCAGATGACAAATAGCGCCTGCATTAGGGCCGGCTGGGAGGAGCGGAGCCGTATCCCATTAGGACCTGTGGGCTGCACGGAGCTAATTGCATTAGGCTGCACTTTATCTCTGGCCTGCATTTCAGATGCTTCGCTTTTGTGAACAGAGCAGGAAACAAAGGGAAGAGTGAATCTCCGGAAGAAAGAACAATTCAATGGACAAGCTTCCTTCTCAGAGGCCCCTGCCCCATTTCTGTCAGTGGGACAGATGGGAGCTTGGGGTTGGCTGTGGGGGTGGTGGTGGTGGGGTGCTGGGGATTTAGCCACGCTCACCGATAGTCCTGTGGCGCTTAGGGAACAAAAGTGTGGCTTCTATAGCATTCTGTATAGACAGAGGGCTTTGCAGAGCGCCCTGCTTGCAGCCAGCTCTGCATTCCCAGCTTCCCCTGGGTGCTTGTGGGCTGGGAGGTGCAGATGTCGCTTCCCATAACCAGAGGCTTGCGAAGGGGAAGGAGCCTGTGGGATGTCCCATTCAGGGCCCTGTCTGGGGGGTGAGGTTTGAAGGACTACACTCCAGCCTCCTCAGGCACCCTCCTTCGCAGACAGTACAGAGACCCCTCTGCCAGGAGGGGGTGCTGCAGCCCCGCTCTGCAGCCCGGGGTTCCTGGAGGCCTCTCAGGCCAGAGGCAGGTCTGGTTTTCAGGGTCCTCCCGCCCTTGCCATTTGTCCCCCGCTGAATCAGCATGGTGCCTCCCCCGCCTGGTACTTTGGGACAGGGTCCGGAAGGGCTCTGGGAGTTTAAAGGCTCGGGGCCTTATGGCAGCGGCTGAAACCAGTAGAGGGGGTTGGGGTCTCCTCCTCCACAGTGAGTAACCCGATTCTGAACTCGAAAACTTCAGGAGTTCCTGTTTTTGCTCTAAAACTGTGGGGTTTCTGAACTTGAAACACTGCACACTTTTGCAAGGGCTTAGTCCCTTGGCTCCAAAACCCTCCTGCCAGGTCATTCACCAATGCATTTGTTGGTTAGTTGGTTTGTTCAGTAAACAAGCACTGGGCCCCTGCTCCCTGCCAGGCCCTGCCCCGGCGACACCGTGACTGAGACTCAGCCCTGCCCTCAGGCGGCTGCTCCCAGTGGAGTGGAGCACTCAGCTCTGCAAACTGTATGCAAGTCAGCCTCCCGAAGGAAGCCGGGGTCACAGAGGTGAGCCCGGAATGGCTGGGTGCAACCAGGGGTGGTTACAACAGGCCTACTGCTTGGCTCTGTCTTTCACGACGATTACAAGCAAGTTCTTATGTACAAGAAAGCCGTTCTGCTGTGAGAAGGGAAACAGGGTCTTTCATTTTTTCCTTTAGGAAAGATAAATAAGGCCACTCTCTCTACTCGCACTAGCAACTTCTGAAGCTACGAGCAAATCACAGCTCAGAAATTTCTATTTATTTATTTTTAAACAATGAAATGAACATTCCTTTCTCCACTCCCTCCAGAAAAAACTGGATACAGTTGTGCATTTTGCCAGGGGCCTGGGCGCCCAGGTGGGTGAGGGATGTTGCAGCTGGTGATGGGAGTCAGCTGGGCCTGACCGGAGCCCTTCCTCCCGCAAAGGGCTCCAGGCCCAAAGTAAACGCATGGTCTCCAAAGTTCTGGAGGCTTCGGGAGCACTGTGTGCGGGTCCACGGCTCCAGCTCTGAACTGAGCTCCTGCTAAGACTTTCTCCCTTGGTCCGGAGTCCCCAAAGGTCTGTGACTCCACCGAAGGCTTTCCAGGTCTCCCCCAGCCCGAGCAGGCCTCCCCAGTTCCACTTCTCCTTGCCAGGGGGATCCCAGCACAAGAATGCCACAGAAACCAACCAGGAGCACAGCCCAGGCAGGGGGGAGGAAGGCAGGGCTGAAGGAAGCTCCCCTGGCCCCCTCCCACTGCATCATCTGGGACATCAGTGAAGTCACCCAGACATCTGGCCTTTTGCCAGTGTTCCTGGTCATGTTTCTGCTCCCCTGACATGATGATCCTCTGGGAGGAGTGACAAGAGAGAGGCAGATGAGGAGAGCCCTCCTCCTGCCTGGTGCTTCGGAGAGATCCTCACTGCCCATCACTGGGCTGGGCAGGCTTCTCTCTGCTTCCCTTTAATGAGATGCTAATAGGATGCCTCATTAACGCCGCAGCTTTTAAACCCTGAGCTCTTGTAAATTTTCAAAGGTCACATTTTTACGGCAGCTGACAGCATCCTGCTTCTTTCACCGACTGAAGAACACTAAAGACCCCGATCCTTTATGGATGAAGCTGTCTGTGAGGTGGCGGCACAGGCTGAGGCGCCCGCTGGTCCAGGGGCGGGAACCTCACTAGGCGACAAGCCTCACAGGGCCCCTGGCTTGTGCTTTACCAGCCTCGGGAGACCCAGGTACACATCGCCCACCGAGCTGCACTGGAGGCCTGCTCTGTTTGGGGGAAGGTGGGGGGGCCAAAGTTAGTGCACAGTGCAAAGATGCCTGGCAGAGAGGGGTTAGGGGGCACTTTTCTTCCCATGGAGCACCTTGTGCCCACCAGGCGGTTCACCCATGATGCTGCGACTGCCCAGAGGGGCTACTTTTTGCTAATTTGTCCACCGAGAGGGAGCCCCTTTTTTCTACTTTGCACAAAGGTGCCATGTAGGTGAGCAGCATCCCAGGTGGTCAGGAAGGTTTGAAAGATGATGGGATGGAGCTCGCTTGGGGCCCCTCACATGCCCGCTGGTTCTTGGATGTGACAATCACAGTCTCCGCACAACACCTCTCAGGGCCTGTACGGACCCCGGCCTGGTGGGCCAGCTCCATGACACAGGGACCCGGCACAGACCCCGGCCTCCCGTAGGTGCCCAGGGAACGAACGAGCAGGCCGCATCTCTGAGCTCCGGTGGTGGCCAACATTGGAGCATTTCGGGAGGCATGGGGCGCATTTCAGAAGAGCGGACCATGTCATGGAACAGAGATGTGAAGTAGCTTGGTGCACGTGGGTGATGGGAGGCAATGAGCTCCCCTGACTGGAGAGATGAGGTTCCAGACTGTGGGGGCCTTGTGTATTGGGCAGCCCAATGTCATTGCCCTGAATGCTGCCAGAGGCTGCTTGGAAGCCTAATGCCTGGCTCCACTGGCCCCCTCCCATGTGCCCGAGTGGGATGAAGATGTGGGATGCTGAGGTTGATGCCCACCTCCGTGGGGCTGGGGGACCGCCTGGAGAAACCAGAGCTCAGCCTCTCTACTGTTTGCCCAAGGAGGCCAGAAGACGGTGACTCAGTGGAGCCTGGAAGTCAGGGAGAACATCCAGAAAGAATGGGGCTGGCCTTGGGCCACAAAGGCTAGGCAGGATTCGCTAAGGGAGATGGATTCGGGCCGAAGTGGCCACCTAGAACCTTACAGCAACAAGTGTTTTCCCCGCCTACATACATTTGACAGAGCCAGGCTCCGGAGTCCACTTTTGGGGTTCAAGTGGCCTCCCCTGGGAGGAGTGACAACGCCAGCACCCATGTCCGTCTCCTGCTGATGCTGATAAACCTGCCTCCACAGACCAGAACCTATGAACCTTGGCCTTCTTGTCACTTGTGTGGTGCTGACAGGGCTGGCAGGGACTGCCTTCTGCTGGGCTTCCCTGAGCACGGCTGGGCCCATCCCTCACAGCAGTGAGCCTCGCCCCTCAAGGGACCCTGGAGCCCCCGAGCCCTCACCTCCATTTAATTGGTCAGACAAAGCTTCCCTGCCCACTGTGGCCCAGAAGCACCACGGGACACTGGGTCATAGTGATCGTCAAGCTCAGCTCCTGCCCTCGAGGAGTGTACACCAGCAGGATGCGATAGGCCTGCACCAGGGACCCGGAGGATGACACAGGCGGGGAGAGCAGGAAACA